TTCTCCTAACCCCTACCTTCCCCCTCCCCCCAGGTCTTCACTACCCTATTGCCCCTGTCCATGGGCTATGCATATAAATATATAAATAATAAAAACAATTAGTGAGTATATTAATACTTTAATTCAGATGTGAAAATTTTGGATCAGTTGTTAGTAGATTTATACCCTTTCCCCATACTATTTTATACATTTATAATTTTGAAATAACTGTGTGTGTGTGTGTGTGTATGTTTAGATATGCTTCCATCATTAGTCAAATTAATTTTTAGGGCTGGCATGTGGGGTTGTGCAGGCTCTATATTGGAGAACTCCAAAGGATGTAATTTACATAAACTACTATGTACAAAGTGAAAGCCTTGATAGTAATGCTGAAAAAATAGTTTTTAGAGTTAAAATTTAAATAACTGTCTCATTTAATTCAGGCACAACCAGTTGGAGATTGTGATTTTAATGTTCGTCTTCAGTGTATAGAACGAGAAATAATAAATCCTCGACATGAAAAAATGAAGACTGGGCTCATTGACAAAACACAGGAACCATTTAGTGTCAGAAATAAGCCATTTTTTGACATTTATACTTCAAGAAAGGTAACATTTTTAAAATAACACTTATAATATATCCTAATTCAGCTTGGGAGAGGAATATGAATGATATTTTTCTGCCGAATTGTCTTGATTTTTCCCGAAATTTCTTGAATATAGTACTCTTTTGGATAAACATATACAGTTACCAGGTCTTCTCCTCTTTAGTAAGATTCTCAGTGATGGAAACTTAAACTAGGTTGTTTTCTTGTTTCTCATAATAGTTTTTGATTGATAGCTATTATGTTTTTTAAAAAGCTGTAAGCTGTGTAGAGTTACATAAGAGTGAAAATAACTTGTCAGGCCTTTTGAAATCAGCAGTTTTTAGTACATAGTCTATTTTAAACTAATCAGTTACATATATATGTATATAGATACATGGAAAGTTTTCTTTATTTTTGTTGTTTGGACACTTAAAATGCATCATATTAAATATTCTGGGATAGTTTTTTTTTTTTTTATTTAACAGTGTGGCTTAGAAATATTTCCATGTTAATGCATAGGGATTTGCAACATTATTTTTTAGCTGCTGCATACTATTTGACAATAAAGATGCACCATGAAGTTAGTTTTGGGAAGAGGAATGGTTATGATATGATAGAATAATATGGGAAATATAGCAACTTATGCAATTATGTTTTAATTTCCTTTCTAATATAATCTCATAAGGTAGATGATAGAAGAAGTTTTTGTTGTATTTTACCTGCTTCTATTCATGTCCACTCAATTTGGTATTTCTTCTTGGATATAATATTAGCGATTATTCCAGCACCATTGATCCTTTTTCTTCTCAATATATAAATATATTATAGAAAAAACAAATAAAGAGTTATTCTTTTTTCACTAATATTTTGCATAATGCCTTCTTGGCATGGGGCTGTTGGTAGACTTCGACTGCCGTCATCTTCTCACAGTTCACTGCTTGCCTTTTGTGCCTCTTTTGACAGCAGACATATGATAGGGGTGCTTACAGGAGCCTGTACACTTCTGTGCTCTGCCCAATTGGTAGAATAAGGATAACGTTGGCACTTAACGTGGGCCACACCCTTGGTGGAAATCTGTTAATTGCAGCTATGTACTCTTGCGGAAATATTTTCTAAATTATAAATAGAGTGTAAATTTGGGCAGAAGCCAAATTGTTTCAGTTTGCATTTGTTTTTTAAAAACTAATTTGACAGCTTGTGCTGTCTTAATTCAAAGTTCAGCACTGAAGAAAATGTGTCTTAGTATAGTTTCATTAGTCAAAATCAGTACTTCTTAGAAATATTTGGCAGTGGATAATTATAAGAATTGTTCTTTAGGGATCTGAAGCAGTTATATTGAACAACTTTCAATGTAGTTTTCATTAGAGAACCGTGATGCTCTTCCTTTTTTTCTTTATACTCAGCTTATTTAACCCCCTTTTTAAACCATATGATTTTTAAAAAAGAAGTCCTAATATTTAGAATTGTTATTATTAGTCTCATTTTCCCTCCGTTTCAGTTCTTACTGTTATTTCTTTGTTCTTAGTTTCTCTTGAAATTCTTTTTGGTTGTAGAATACAGAAGGAAAGCACCTTTTACAGCAGAGTTGGTCTAAAGGGGAAAACGAGTAACACCAAATATGGGATAGTAGCTATAATTGACAGATTATTGCTCTAGAGAGTCTTCTTTTTATTATGAATTTTTAAAATAAATTTATCTTTATTGTTGAAAGTATTAGAGATGTCCTCTCCACCCCCATTGACCCCCTTCACCCCATTCCTGCCTCTTCCACAGGCCTCCATTGCAAAATCTTATTATTATTATCTTTGCTAATGGGAATGGTAAATAGTGATATTATGAATGATAAAGCCTTTGTCATGGAAGTATATATCATTTTTATGAGGGAAGACATTTTTTATGTGGTTTTAAATAGTTTATAACTGTGGAAAAATGCATACTTTTTAAAATAGACATTTCATTTCTGCACACCTTTAAAATTTTGAAGATAATTTTGATTTTAGGACTTTATTAGTATAGCTCTATTAGCCTTTTCCTTTTATGTAATTAGATCCATCAAACACAGTGCAGGGATAATGAGTTGTTCAGTGTTTAACTGAATATACATAGTTAAAGCATACAAAATAGTAACAAGAAGCAATTTCTCAAATAATAATTTTATTTGAATTTCTAGTTTGAAGGCCAATTAAAAAAGAATCATTTTTATTTATTTATTCATTTTACAGCTGAGTAGTATTCCATTGTATAAATGTATCATAGCTTTTTTATCCACTCATGTTCTGATGGGCACTTGGGCTGTTTCCAGATCTTGGCTATTGTAAATAATGCTGCAATGAACATAGGGGTGCATATATTCTTTTGACACTTATATGTGGAATCTAATGAACAAGTTAAACTGACAGATAAAATAGAAACAGAGGCATGGATACATGGAACAGACTGACAGCTACTATCGGGGAGAAGGGTTAGGGGACTGGATGAAAGAAGATGAAGTGATTAAGCAAAAAATCCACATATATTTAACACATAGCATAGACAACAATGTGGTGACAGCCAGAGGGAAAGGGAGTGGGGGGTGGGGGGTCAGTGGAGGTGGGCAAAGGGGGGAAATGGGGGCGGAAAGAAACTTTGCTTTGGGCAGTGGGCACACGATACAGTGCCCATATGTTTTGTTGAGGCCTGTATGGTTTTGTGAACCAGTGTCATCCCATTAAAGTTAATAAAACAACAACAAAAAACAATGGAAAATATGCTATAAGTTATATTAAAAAAGAAGAGAAATATGCATATATTCTATCTATTTTTTTATTCACAAGGATTTTCATTTCTTTCCATATCTTTATAGATTGCCTTATTTATTTATTTTTATTTTTTGGCATGTTCTTAGGATTCCCGGTCTTAGCCTAGGGACTCTGAGGGCACATACATGTCCACATATACTTTAGGCATATGTGTATACCCTGTGAGAAGAGGAGTGTGACTCACTAGGCTGCAGTAGGGTGGGGCCTTTCTGGGAGAGAATGTAAAGGTAGACATATTAAAGAGAAATAGTAAGAATTTTAAGTTGCACATAGGAAGTTAGTGACAGTACAGCTGATGAAAGCACATATTCTTTAAAGGTATATATAAAAGTCTAGTGACCCATGTAATTATTTGCTGCATTAAATTGTTGATAAATGCTTACCTTTAAGTACTAGAAATACAATCACTATACCAGAGATATATTTTGCTATTTTATACAGCAAAATGAAGTACTTTATATAGTAGTTTAGATATAAATCTTAGGTTCTATTTTTATATGATTTTGAACTATTTCTATAGTAGCTCAAAATTGATACAAAGAATAAGGGAAATGTTATATGCTTTTTATATTGTAGAAAACAAAGTTTATTTCTTAAAGTCTCATTCCTTATTCCTGGTACTTTATTAGGCTGTAAAACATGTTTAGTTTACAGATAAATGCCATTTGGTATGTCAGTATGGGTTGTCCTCATCCAGAGATCTCATTTGTGGTGGCTAACTGGGTCACTTTACCCATGCGACTATGGCATCATTCTACAGTCTGCCCCATCTTGACAATAATGCCCAACAAGGAAGTCATATGCTTTCCTGCTGATGCCTGTGACTTGGAGGATAGTCTAAATTGTGTCAACTATAGAAACACAGTGACAAAAACTTCTGTTGCAATGAATTCAGGCCAACTGCATAGTCCCCTACAGAATGGTCCTTACTTAGACTCTAGGTGCAAGTATGGGAGTCCCCAGGGCCACCTTCATGTCAGACCTGCTGGCTACAAATTCTGCCGTCCCCAGGGACTCCCTTAGGTTTGATAATTTACCAAACAGACTCACAGAACTCACAGATAATTTACCAAACAGACTCACAGAACTCAGGAAAGCACTATACTTATGATTATAGTTTTACTGTAACTGGAGGCCAAAAGAGGAGCTGCATAGGGCAAATCTATGAGGTGCCCAAATGATAAGCTTCTGGTTGTCCTGTCCCTGAAGAGTCATGGATGGTGTTACCTACTCCTGGTTAGTATGTATGACAATATTAGAATATTGCCAACTAGGGAAGCTCACCTAAGTGTTCGAGATCCAAAGGTTATATTGTCACATCCCACCTGCATGGCTGACCTTTAGTTTGCAGCCCCTCCCAGAGGTTTAGCTAATACATTTAGTCTCCAGTTCCTCTGGACGTCAGAACTGATATGGCATAATCGAAAGCCCCCATCATAAATCATATTGTTAAACTTTTTGGTAAGCAAAGATACTTTCATCAGGCAGGACAGTCCAGGGGCTAGAGCTCACCTCCCAGTAGTGGAGGGCATAGGCCAGACCTCTCTTTTGGTAAAGTTACTTCTTCAGTACACACTCACTCAAACAAAGGATTTTTTTTTTTTAAATCTTCACCTGAGGATGTTTTTTTCCATTGATATTTAGAGAGAATGGAAGGGAGTGAGGAGGGGAGAGAGAAACATTGATGTGAGAGACACACATTGATTGGTTGCCTCCCTCACATGCCCAGAGCCAGGGACATGCAACCCAGGTACATGCCTTTGACTAGGAATCAAACGCGTGACTCTTTGGTCCACGGGGCGATGCTCTAACCACTGAGAAAAACCGGCCAGGGCCAAAGGATGTATTCAATGAGGTAGATTGTTTTGCAATTTACCATAATGTTCTTTGTTTGAAAGTCTTAAATTATATTTTACAAATAAATGTGATTTCCATTTATGCTCAAATTAAAATATTTAACTTCTTTCTTGGTTTCTTTATCTCTGTAATTTTTGTCGTTTTTCTTGTGACATTCAGACCAGCCACTCTTGTAGTTTAGTTTTATTTTTAATTGCATCACTTATGTGTTTATGGCTAAGTATTCATTCTGTCCTTGCATTCCTTCCAAAAATGCTTAGCATTCTTCCAAACTAGTAGGTCATGTTTTTCTACCCATAAAGGAAATACTCCCCTATACTTCTTACCAGCTGCAATTTGGATAAACATTTTAGAAAAGATTTAGGAG